AAGGAAGAACAGGGTCTAAACAAAATCCTTGTTGTCATGATGTGTTCCGGCACCGCCTGTTGGAAACACCCTGCCGTCTCACGGGCTCGCTGTCCGCGGTGTGTTCAGGCAGGCGTGTGCATTCTTCTCTGCGTGTTTACAGACCGCGTTTCCCTTCATGTTCCGAAATGGGGGCAGGAGTAAGGGACCTGACTCGCTGGGATCACGGGCCCGCTTTAATTGCCGACCCTAATAACTTGTTCTAATTGGGCTCGTGCTGTCTTATTACCGTCAGCGTCTACCCATCAGCAAAGCGGAACTTTACAGTCACGGGAACAGCTTTTCCCAGCAGGGAGCTGGTCCCTGTCCAGAGCAACGAAGGCTCTTCTTGACTTACGACCAATAACTGAGGGGGCTGAGCACAGATTCATGAACGGAACTTTGAAGCGTGAATGAGTCAGCAGCGATTCCTGCATGTTAGATATCACATACCACTTGCGATCACATATCACACGTTTATACTTTGGCCAGAATTTCCTAAATGTCTATGAACCATACCTGGAAAAGAGACGGCAAAGTGTGGCCAACCTTACCTGTGCACGCTCATCAGACTGTTATGCTTCCAAAGTCTTTGTGTTTTAACGGTGGGAGAACTTGTGATTTTTTCCACAACTGATAGATGCTTGGAAAGTGTGGGTGTGAACAATGCTTCCCCCGCAGGGGGGGCCACTGCCTAGGAAGGAGCCCCTTGCGGAAGGCTTTCTCCGCGGTAACGGTGATGCTCACGGTGACGTGAGGCGTGCTTGAAAGGGCCTGAAGGGTTATTTAGCTACAGGTGGGAATAGCAATTTCATGTCTTCAGATGTTTTAGGGCGAGGGTTATACACTCGAAGACGCCATCCATGGAAGGACAACATTATTTTATGTAGCACCGTGAAAGAATAGTGCTGCTAATTGAACTGTAACTCACATGAGACTCCAGAGAGGTTCAAATGTGGAAACAATGTGCACTTTGGAACTGACGCGATGTAACTGTATTTCCCCGTTCATGCGACTGTTCATGGGCTGCTAGCAGTCAGCACTTGGTAGGTTGGTTGTCAAGTTCAATCTAGAAGAGCACGTTCACTTAGCCTTGAGCTGCTGTGTCAGTGAGTTTTACACACAGTTGGCTGCATCTTCCTCTCCTCCCCGTCCCGTCTCCCCTTCGCCTTCCCAGGATGAACGTGGCCCTGGGCGCATCTCCACGCCCACGAGGTGGAGGGCAGGCTAAGACAGTGCTGCTGCTTTGTCCGAAATTTCTTTTCATTTCACATTATAAATGGAAATGAGGTCATTTGTTTTTAAACGATTGTTATTCAGAAGAACAGGAATGAGCTCTGAGCAATGGAAACAAATGCTAGAGATGCTGTTGGTTTAAATACCCAGCTTTACTAGTATCCTCAGATATCCGAATCTTAGTACCCTCTCGGACACAGCACCGGTTCAGAAGTGGTCACGGTGGCTTAATTCTCCCACGCACTCCCAGAACGAAACTCTCTCTACAGTGAGCTGTGTTTGGGATTAGGAAGTCAAGAGAATCGAGAGACTCATGACTGCTAGTTCTTTCGATCACAGTCATGTTCCGAAGCAAAGGGGGAGGCTGTCTACTTGGACTGCAGGCTGGACTGAGGACCCTCAGTAAGTGATTACCCAATAAACCGATGAGGCTCCATGGTCATGCCAATATGAACAAGTCCAACGGGTGTTTTTCATCTCATCGATCAAAATTTGGTGATGGCGATATCTTACCCATCTGATTAAACTAGGTATGAACAACCTTTGATCTGTTACCGAGTAAAAGGACATGAGATCATCTTACTCTGGGCAGTATTAACTATCTCTTCCCACAAAATTCTGGGCCACCCGAGAAGGAAGGAAATATCTCGCTCTTGTCTGTATTCCCAGCACCACCGCGAGAGTACTGAGCGCAGAGTAAGCAATGAGAAGCTCATGAATGGTTAATCCATAGCTAACCTCTGTTTAAAACTTCTTAATGGAGTCAGTTAATATTAATTAATTCTTTCCCTATCTTTTCCGGTGAAGGAAACTAACACATACACTTTTAAGAGCCTTACCAACTCAAAGGATAAATTCCTTTTATCCAATGCTCTGCAGTGCAAAGGTACTGTTTATTCATGAGGCTTGGCTAGATATTAGATTCTGCAAGCAAGAATAGAAATATTGCCTAACTTAGATTATGGTGATATGTCAAAATGTGTTTATTCATGTGTTCCCCGAAAAGGAAGATAATAAACAAGGGGAAAACAAGGTTTTACAAAAATATGGTGTAAAAAGATGAGATTGAATTCTTTCTCTTATAGTTCAATTTATTTACCTATAAAGCCAGTAACACCTTTGAAGGTCTTCCCTCAGTTGCCTGAACAATATGTTTGGGGCATTCATTACTCATAGAGCTCACTGGTAATTTAATCTCGTAAAATCTTTTTAATCTCATTAAAATATATAAACAACTTCTATCTGATCAATATTCATCTTCCAAGGCCTGGTTTTAAAACTGGAAGGCCAGTGAATAGCATCATCTTCTGACTTTATATTAGACACATAATAAATGAAATGCAACATTTTTATATCCTAGATAGGTCTTTTGGTGCTTTTCCAACTCCCAAGTTATACTTTCGTCTAGTTTGTAGCACAGGCTTTCACTTTATTTTAAATAAGCAAACGAAAAGTTATTGCTTCATGAATATGCAGAGGGTATTTAACTGTTGTTTCATTCCTGTTAGAATTTCTCTGTAGAAGAGACCTGTACATGTAAAGGCATCTTCTTAAACGAAGAAGAAACACAAATGTCTTGGAGATCCAGAAACCTTTGCTTATGGTCCTAGAATTTGGGGAACGGGGGCAGTTCTATAACTTGCCCACCAAAAAGCATTGTTAATTCAGCTTCATCTGAAGAATGGACAGGATCTGGAGTAATTTGATTAGTATGAACCTCCAGAGAAAAGCGTAGCTGTGCCATCATTATTTGAAATGAAAGCAAATGCTCCATTTCTGTGGATGTACCACATGGATGGAGTCTCTGAATTTGCAATTTCCAGACACATTTGTATTCTCTGTGGAGCCACACTGAGGGTGCTATTTTAAGACTTGCCCCACACCCTGCCATGTCCGAGCACCACATCCATGGTGCTTCCCTCCAGATTGGACTCCAGACCTCGGAGAGTGACGACCACCTCTGACCCCTCAATACCAGGTGCTCGGCTCCACTCCCTGGACTTGCTCTCAGTAGTGTGGGACGTAAGACCACAACAGCATCAACAGCAAAGACTAATCAAATTTTGCCTTGAAAATGTCTTGGCAGAAGATTGCTCAACATACTTAAAGAGATTGAAAGACATTATGAAGCTATAGTTAGAAATAACAACAGTGTCTTTGCAACATTGCAAATCTTAGTTATTCCAAATGACTCCTACAGATGGGTCGCCCTCATAATAATGGGAGTTTGGTGGTACTTTCTGTGTGCCAAGTCTATCTATGTATATCAGTGCACAGATACCTCATAGTAAGCAAATAAATAGAACGAATGCATCCCCATTTTACAGATATAGGAAGAGGAGACATTCAGCGGTTAAATAACTTGGCCAGGATTATGCAGTCAGCGGTGGACCTGGGGACCCAGGACACTAACTGAGTGGTCTCCTTCACGGTGGACAATTGTGGCTTGAAAAACCTCTTGGAATTTGCTTCATGAAAATTTAATTTAAATGACTAGACTTAGGAGCACTTTGGCTGTTTGAAACAAGGATAAGTAATGAACTACAGCTGTTAACTAATAGAAAGTGACATCACAGTTATATTTGGTTGCTAATAAGAAGCATCAGTGAATTGCAAATATGAGCTGATAAGAAATGTACAAGATTCTGAAATAATTTAAAATTTGGCAGGTATATTTTTAACCTTATTCAAGCCACTAGAAAAATGTCATATTAATTGGAAAACTGTTACGATGGTTTAAATTTAACCCAAATCTAGAAGACTAAGTCATACTAACCTCCTATTAATGTGAGAAAATTAAAAATGCATTAAGAATGAGATCATTTGTTAAACTACTTTTCTGTGTTTTACATTTAAAAGTTTTATTTTGTATTTTAAAATGTTATGTAATTGAGAAATTGAAGAATAAAAACTATAATACTAGAGAAGTCAGTAGTCTTAAACTGGAACAGAAGCATTGTTTTTCTGATGAGGGAAAACACCCCCGTTTCCCAAAGGCACACCTGTCCTCCACAGGTAAAAGGTCATGCATCTCCATAAATCCTGAAGAAACAGACAATAGTCACCTCTTAAGATTGTAGCCAATAATTAATCCATTGTTTGCTTTTCAAAGTCAGTAATAAAGGGTATCATTTTTTTCCCAGTTACATGTAAAATGGACTGTTTTAGATTTCTTACTAAATCATTTCTTAGCCTGACCCTGAACTGTAGGGAGCATGGTTTCAGGACAGGGTAACAGGCAGACGTTCTGTAGGTAAACGAGAAACTCCTTCTGCAAACATTTTATTATTGGCTCTAACTGCACGCTGAAAGACAAGTTTCAGAAATGCTGGGACAAAGAGAAAGACAAAAAGAAAAGTGGAATCCTTGCTGGTCTGTACTTCATTTTCCTGGGCCTACATTTGAATGTCTGATTGTCCAGCTGTATGTGGAGTTATTGCAAGGACATCGCTCCTTAGTTCATTCTCTCTGTGCTCCACCTCTTTTTGGGTAACCATGGAAACAGGTCACACACAGGAAGATACACAGAATGTAGGGCTCCCTGTTAGTGGCCACAAATAACTTCTTTTCTCATGAGCTGAATAGGGAATTAGAAAGATGAGATTCCGTAACTGGGGCGAGCTCGTGGGACTAGGGTGGGGGGGACACTGGAGTGGAGACATGGATGGACCCACATGTACACAGAACGCATCAGACCTCAGAGACATTCACTCCAAGCTGTTGAGTTACCGAGACAGGAGCCTTACCCGGGCCTTCTGCTCCATTTCTAGCATTAATCTTTCGTGTTGCTCAGCTATGGCCAGTGTTGCGGAATGGACCTTCTGATAGATCATTTCTCCTTCCCTTGTTTGAAAAGTGAATAGGCCTTCTCCCGTGTCACACATTCTGCGAGAACAGAGACAGGGAAAGAGATGGGTGTTCATGGGTTCAAGCGCGAACAGTTCTCCGCGTGAAAGACGCCCGTGCCCAGTGTGACCCTCCGCCTCCCGCAGGAGACAGTGGAGCGGGCTCACCCGTGACCAGCCCCACCAGCCCCCCGGCGCAGCTCAGCACAGGAGAACAGGAGCAAGGGATATATTTGGATTTTTAGATGAAGCGCTCACCACGGTGTGAGGCAACAGACAAAAGTGGTTTGGGCTCTGGCCATGCAGAAAGAATACAAACAAACAGTTATTTTTAAAGAGGATTTTCACACCTGTGACATCATAGCACTACCTCCTATGAGGTGATAGCTTTTGAAAACAAAAGAGCTTAAGAAAAATCTGCAGTAGTATACTCAGTGCGGTGCAGCCAACGAGAACACTGTACAGTTTTAGTTCATGAATTTGCATCCCTAGGCTGACGCTTTTATTTACACGGAGTGATCCTTATGTAAATCTCGGTAGAGCCCAGAAAACGCCAGGGTGTGAAGGAGACTATTCTATTTGGTTCGAATTTCAGCTCTGCCACTTACCTGCAGTGTGACCTCGGGCACGTTGAATAACTTGCCTGTATAGTTCTTTCCACACACCTGGCGTAAGCAGAACAATGGTCCCATCTCATAAGATCCTTATGACAGTTAAAAGACTTGCTATACCAAATATTCAGAGTATTGCTTAGCACATATTAAGTGCCCCCAAATATTAGCTGTTACTATTTCACCATAGAGAATGGAACCAATCTCAGTACCCACTACAGAGACATGGGCGGCTTAATTGTAGTATTTTTAACTGATGCACCATTAGGCACCTGTTTCTAGGTCATTTCTAAGAGCATACAATACATTTGAAATTCTTATGACATAAATCCAGGAGGAAAAATCAGAATACAGATCTATCTTCAATTATTGAATTATAATTACCTTTAAAGTTTTTTTTATTGGAATAAAACCAGTGACAATTTGTTAGGCAACAGGACTGTAGGTCAGTTTAATTAGCAAAGAGTAACTCTGGAAGGGGAAATAGTTGACATTACTGGTGTAAGCCCGCTTGTAAAAACCAGGGAGGCCATTGAGAAAACCAGCGACGTGATGCTGTCTGCCGGGCGCTGGACGGCACCGGATCGCGTGCCGCCGGTTTTCGGGTCAGAGCATCAAACGATTCGCACAAGATGTTTATGCGGCCGAACTGTGTCCTCCAGCACCGGAACGATGTCAGGCTCTTCGCGACGATTCTCCAAGGAGTTTTCGGTGGAAAAGATGTCTCAGAGGCTCAGACTTCGCGGAGGCCGGGACCGCGGTCCCCGCGGGCTCAGAGGACCAGCTCTCGGCCCCCGCAGAAGAGATCGTAACAAAACCCACGCGGCGTGAAATGGGAGCCCGGGGGAGGGGCGCGCGTGCACAGAGCGAGGCCAGGGAGCTCTCTTCGTTTTGGGGGAGAGAAGCAACCCAGCGGGGGCGCAGGAAAGCCACGGAGGGGAGTGAGCGCCTTCTGAGGCTCGGCCCCCGGTCACCCGAGCACGGCTGCTTTGGCACCAGAGTGGACACAGGTCATTTCACGCTCAGCCACTGAGGCGCAGAGTCTGGTGCTCACCCGCTCCTGGGGACCCAGTCCTGCCCAGCGAGGGGGCTCCAAGGTGTCCAGGGAGTTCCAGCCCCTGGAACAGACGACTCTGAGCGCCACCCTTGGGTCAAGGAGAGGGCGTTCGGACATGCGGGCATCATAGAGCGAAGGCTTTTTAGGTGGAAGTCCTCTTTGCCAAACTCTGTTCTTCTCGGGACCAAAGAGGGCACCCCTCTTGCTTTCTGCCCCCCCGGCTCACGGCAGAATCACTGGAAATAGCAGTACCGTCATTTGTCTCCGCGACGTGCTGGTAAGTAAGGAACAGAGGACGCATGTGGATGCCCATCCTCACAGCGAACAAGGGAAATGATGCTCCGCGGGGCCTGTCCTCAGAGGTGCCCTCGAGGGGGGCGACAGCTCGGAAGGATGGCACCTGCGGCTGCCACACCACAGCCCCGGCTGCGGGCCCGGGCGTCTCAAACACCTGGTGAACGGCTGGCCAGACCTTCTTCCATGACAGAGAGAAGACATTTCCCAAGTCGAAAGCTAAAGCCAACACTTCTCTTTTGTCCTTTTTAAAGTAAAAGCGGCTGCTTCGACGTCATTCCCTGTGGGTCTTGAGCCGCTGGCTGCAGACGGATCTGCGGACCCTTGGTGATTCTGTCCGTCTTGACAGCGGTTCCATTTCGCCCGCATGGGACCTTCGGCGATTTGGGATATACATTTAATGCCCACAGAGCGGTCCTGCGTGCACGCAGACAGTTTAAACTCTCAGCCACGGTGTGGAACAGGAGCCCTTCCCTGAAAACCCAGTGGTGTTTCTCGTCAGTATTTAAAATTTAATGTTTAATTATAGAAAGTAATGAAAGCCTTACAAGCACAGCCTTTCTCAGAGCAGTTAAAACCAATTCGCACTTTTATTCCATGAACATTTGAAGCTTTCTCGTCCTGGAACAATGCTGGCAGTTTACTGTTTTTCAAAGCAGCGATGAAAAGTTTCTCCTGAAGAGCTCCAGGGGTCAGACCGTCATCCACGGTGACCACCTTGCCAGCAAAATGCGGAACCACAGAGAAACTTCATGTCTTTAACGTGACCTTTTCTCCTTTCTTCCCTTTTGATTCAAGCGGGCCCCATCCAGCACCCTGACCCACCTGCCTCTTCCCTTGCACGACCCCTCCCTTAATCACTCAGTCCCCAGGACAAGGAGCTTCTTTTTTTTTTATCCTCATCCGAGGACATTTTTCCATTTTTTGTACAGACAGAGTGGGAGGGAGAGAGAGGAAGAGAGAAAGAGGGAAACATCGATGTGAAAGGGACACATCGAGTGGCTGCCACCCGCACGACCCAACCAGGGTCGGGGACAAACTGCAACCGAGGTAAGTGCCCTTAGCGGGAACCGAACCCGGGTCTCTCTGGACCGCAGGCGGACGCTCTAACCGCTGAGCCAAACCGGCCAGGGCGCCAGGACAAGGAGCTTCTGATCAGCATCAAATAGTGTTAGAGACAAAGCCTCAGGTCTGTTGCCCACAGACACATTTCAGCCAAACCAGAGATGACATCTAGGCCTCAACTGTGTTTCAGCTCCAGGCCCAGAAAAGGACCCAAACCAGACAAAGCGTAGCCATGGCTGACTCAGGGCAGGAGGCAGTGACCAGTGACCCCTACCCTACCACCGACCCATCAGAGACCATGGTCCTGACCTTGGCCCTAACTGCCTTAGTCACCATGATATTGACTTGCCCCTAGATAACCCGTCCCCTGGACGCCCAGGACTTGGAGCATCACCTCACCTGTCTCCAGGAAGGGGCCACCTCCTCAAAAGGAAGCTCACTACCTCACCGAGCCTCTCAACATCTCACAAGGCCCTCAGTGCTTCCCGTTTTCCAGAAAACAGCGCCATCTTCAGGAGGTCAAGGAATTTGCCCAAGGTCATTAAAATGTAAGTGGCTGAGCTGTGATCTGAACTTAGTCACATGATTTTGGAGGGTAAGCTTATTATCACGAAGCTGGATTTTGTATTCATTCGAGATGGGCACCAAAGCATGCACCATCATTCTTTCATTATAAAATTATTTATAGTGGAGAGAGAGACAGGACTTGGGATAAAACATTTTGAAGGCTGTCTCCTTCTTTGCCTTGGTCCCTGTCCTGGCAAATCAGGTGTCTAAGACATAGACCTCCATGGATGCATCAGTAAAATGCATATCAAGGTTATTCATCAATCGATCAGTGAAACTGTAGGATTGGAAGCAAACCCTCTCTGGGCTGTTAACCTCATGTCCAGTGCTCTGTAAGGAGGACGGTGTAGAACACTGGCCACCCTCTGCCTCCTGCCTGGGTCCCTGTGTGGCCCAGACCTCCTTGGTTTCCCTGTTGGTGTCTGAGGGCTACAACACTTTCCTTCAGACAAGATGAGAAACCAGGGCCAACTGGAGATCTTGATTTCATTCCAGGCTCTGACACAGGTTAGCTTGGGAAATGCCGTTTTGATCTTTTATAACATTAAATTTTTTTTTTTAATCCTCACTCAAGGACATTTTTCCATATTTTGTCCAGATAGAGTGGGAGGGAGAGAGAGGAAGAGAGAGAGAGAGAGAGAGACATCAACGTGAAAGGGGCACATTGAGTGGCTGCCACCTGCACGACCAACCAGCGCCGGGGACAAACTGCAACTGAGTTACGTGCCCTTAGCGGGAACCGAACCCGGGTCTCTCTGGACCACAGGCCGACGCTCTAACTGCTGAGCCAAACCGGCCAGGGCTATAACATTAAATTTTTTAACGAACGAGTTGAGCTAAATCATCGGTAAGGTACTAACATATTACAGATTGTCTTCCCTGTGCACCCAATGATGACCGGATCATAGTCACATGAATTATGACAGTTCCATCTTTTCAGATATTTTCAAAATTTCCATTTTACTCCATTCCATTTACTTTTTCTTACTTTCAAATTTTCTTTCTTTCTTCCCTCCCCCCCCCCAACTCAACAAAGAAGTCTGAAGTCTTGGCTTCAGTGAATCCTTCGAATGACATACATGTAGGATGCTCTCCATGTACCTTCCTTTCTGCCTGGAAGACTGAGAATTGAAAAATCCACCACGTGAAGATGAAAGGTAAGTCACAGACTTTAGTTGCTCTTTAATTACCTCAATAAATGATCACAAATGATCATCATTATGATGATAATTATTATAATGTTACATCATATGTTTATGAATGTTTGATGAGAAAACATTTAAAAGGATTCATAGCTAATTTTATATTCATCCTGTATACACATATCTCCCAGTTTATTGCAAAAATATTAGCTACCCCTTGAGAATTAGGAATTTTAATATCCTTAACTCCCAAGTGTCAATCACAGAAAGCATGCAATGCACTCCAGGTCTGTCTATCGCAACG